AAAGTCGATAAGTCTTTGATGTGATGTTTTCCTAATTGCCTTATTTTGTTCAATCATGGGATTTTACAATACCTGTGATAAGTTCGCAAGTTTTTGATTGTTATGTAGGTTCCTATGTCTTATATTGATGTGACAATGTTCTTTTTCAGATCTTGGTCTGTGAGCATAAACTGTGAAGAATGGAGTGAGGTTGAGCAAAGTTATAGCCAGATCATTATCAACTTGTACTTGCAGTCATGGTAATGTGGCCGATTAAAGCAAATGATGAACTGAACTTTTTAAATAGGTATCTATAACCTATCCAAACAGAAGAACATGCTGATGCTGTCAAGCTAGATTTCTCAATGTAAGCAGTCTGTTCCAAGCACTGTTCTACTGAAAATGTTCATCCAGACATCCGACCAGCAACCTATCCAGTGATGCTGTGGCTGATGGCGGAGGCAAAGCACCAACTGTCCTTGGTGCCTGGTAAGTAGTATGGACCATTTCATTTGTATACCAAAGAAATATATTTATTACTATTGCTAGTCTTATGCTAGACTTGCCTAGAGTATTTGCCAAACCTGTCTCAACATTTCATCTAGCTGCTTCTTCATTTGTCATTAGATTTTGTATTACCCTTAGAAGTGCCAGTGCTGATTTAGTCTAAGGGTCAGGCAACCCTGATGACGATGAGAGAAGCAACTGGCTGGAAAACTGTGACAATAACAGCATCACTCAACAGTCAACACAGGGATGGTTATCAGCCTCAGGACAACCATAGATAAAAGTATCATTGTTGTTTTGTTAGGACTAACAATAAGAACAATGATACTTATACCTCACCTCAAACTTTTTGAAGGATCATAAAATGATCATGCTTATGTCTGATTTTTGTATGTTATTTGTGTGTTTCCATGTGCAATGTGCATATCTATGAGAGAAATATACCTCTGGGCTGTGCGTTCTCCTATCATGTGCCAGTGAGCGGGAAGATCATGGGTTTGTGTACTCGTTTGTGCATCTGTTCATGTGCTTAATGTTAATATCTGTCCTCCCTGTGCTGGTGCAGGTGTGTGCACAAGTAGACGAGTGCCGTTCATCGCCGCCGTCTTCCTGGACCTTTGCTCATCGCCGTCGTCTGTCGGGGCCTGCAATTCGGTCGTCGCCGTCTGCCGGGGCCAGCCAGCTCCAGATTGATTCCTGCCTATCGCCGCCGTTTGCGGGGACCTGCGATGTCGCTGCCGTCGTCAGCCAGAGAAGCTGGTCACAGTCATCGAAGAGCAGTGATCTCCGCCGTTCGAAGAGCTGTGTAATATATATCATGTGTTGTCGCCTGTCAGTCCCCAGTGGAGTTCTCATGTGCCGTCCGTCGACTGGCGATTCCCATGATATGACATCTGAGGGTCACCCACCGGCCACCGTTTACCGGCGACTCTGAGGGCCGTCAGCCCCGAGTCCCTAGATATCCTCAGCTCGCACCCGGCAGCAGTCTCTGTCGCATCTGGAGTGTAGTCTATTCTAAAATGCTTGATGCATTGCGCTGCTTCTTGTGTTAATCTGCTGGGAAACTTGGAAAGTGTTAACAACGGTATATGTGCGAAGTGGAAGCCGTGTAAAGACGTCTGCGTATTCATTTCAACGGTGGTTAATTCGAAGTGATATTGGTCGAAACTGTTTTGGTTTTGTTATTCGTAAGCTTGTCATTGAGTATGACTTCAGGAATGAAATTGCGCGCCTCGCAATTTCAACGAAAAAATGAGAGTTACGGTGTCAGCAAGACGTCAAATTATTGTCGCTCCATGACAGCGGCGGGTTATATTGCTGCTCGCCCAGCGGTCCCTGAGGGCGTCGGCGGGCGCCGTCCGGCTGTGCACCCCGGCCCAATCAGCACATCTGACGGTCGCCCAACGGCGACTCTGAGGGCCCCACTGGCGTCTCGGAGTACCATGCCGGTCTCTAAGAACCGCTCAGGGCTCCGGAAGGCATCCCACGGGGCCCCGAAGGTACCACACAAGCTCTCACAAGTCACGCTTAGATCTGATAGGTCTCATACCGCCATCTGAGAGCCCCACGCCAGCGCTTTTCATAGCCCCACATCGGCATCTGAAAGAGCCCCATCTCGGCGCCTCTTGGGACCCCACACCGGCGACCCTTTTGGCTCCACAGCGGCACCTCTAAGGGTTCCACACCAGTGCTTCTTTGGACCCCAAACGGCACACTGGCACCTCTGATGGTCCACACCGGCCATTCTGAGGGCACTCATCAGCGCCTGAGAGTACCACGCCGGTCTTCAAGGGTTGTACAGGCTACTGAAGGCACCACGACAGCTCTTAAATCTCGCTGAGCTTTAAAGGGACCCTCCCACCTTAACATTAGTTTTGAGTTGAGATAGCCAAGTTTGCGGCCAGGCTCAGAAACCACCATTTATCCTGGTCGCAACCCCCGCAGCTTTATGGTGTTCAAGAAATTTCTTCCCTTTACTTGCAGGGTGGGACCAGCGTGGTCCCTATCTCTTAACCATTACGGGAATCTGATGACGTCATCAGGCTTTCGAACGTCCGTTAAATGTTTGACTAAAACGTTTTGTAGCACGCGGTGGTATATGCTGCTTTGCGCGCAACAAATGCCGCACTTTCAAATAAAGTCGCTAGGAACAGCGGAGATCCCAAAAAGTAAACAAAAGTAAAAGTCTAATATCTTGAAAACCGGTGAATATTTTTCGATGAAATTTGGTAGATATTCGTTTTTGCTCTTTCTGAACCGAGCGACATCACTTTCATGCCAATTCATTAACTTTTTTGAAGGTGGGAGGGTCCCTTTAATAGGTCCAATAATTGCCTCTGAAACTAAACGCCAGGGCTCCCATAGCCACTAGTGGTGTCAATCGGAACTTGAATCTTTGGAATTCCGATTTTGTCCAATGTCCAATTCGGAATTCGGTTGGACAATGGCAGCAGGCTTTGGACAACTTTGGACAATCGCTTGCTACACCTCAACATTTTTAAAAAAGTAGTCGTGTTTAACGTTGATTGGCTATTAGAAAGCTCAGCTTTCGATATGATTAACACTTTTGAGCTTGTAACGGTATATGAAAAGCAAATTAAATAACAGTTTTGAGTGTAAACTATTGCGTAGGTGTCGGACATCTTTGGACAAATGGCTGGCTTGGACATTTTTGGACGGACAATCGACGTAAGCATTGGACATTGGACGGCCTTTGGACATACGTTTTCTGAAATTGACACCACTAATAGCCACACACCGGCACCTGTAGGGCTTTTCTATATCAGCGACTCGTAAGGCCCGCTCACCGGCACATCCGTCATCCGATGGCCGCCCACTGGTGACTCTGAGGGCCCCCGTCGGCATCCCAGAATACCATGCCGGTCAAGGGCTCCACAGGTCTACTGAAGGCACCACACAAGCTCTTCAATAGTCTTGTTGAGCTACATTGGGTCCCATACCGGCCCGGGCCTGAGACTCCATTTCAGCGCACTTCATGCTCCACACCGGCACCTGTAGGGGCTTCGAACCGACGACTCTGAGGGCCGCACTCGGTCATACAAAGCCCTGCCTCTGAGTACCCTATACCGATCTATCATAGTCCATAGAGCCAACACCGGCGCACCCGACGGCCACCCACCGGCGAATCTGGGGGCCCATACTGCCGTCTGCCGAGTCTCGTGATATCCGCGACTGCCACCCGTCGGTAGTCTCAGTCGCAGCTTGAATGTAGTCTGTTAACCTAACCTGACCTTACCTTAGTTAACTCGATTCAATTTAACCATGTGTGCCCTTTTTTCATTCTATCATACTCTTTTCGCTTTGTATTTCAATAGCCGCGCCCGCCGAGCCGTGCCGCGTCGGCGGCGGCCGGCGCCGGCCGGCTGTGCACCCTCGGTGACGTCATCCCGCCACCTGCGCAGAAAAGCTGCGCACTGGGATGATTCTACCTGGTATATACTGCCTTGGGTCAAATGATGTGGAGCTCCCTGCCAAGCGTTGACTACCAGTATGTTATCCACTTGGCTGCATGGAGGAGAAGAGTGATAATAAAATTAAAGTACTTGAACACTGAACAGGATGTCAAATTGTCATTTTTCATAATGCATCACCACTAACTTCAGATTTAGTATTTAAATGCTAAAGTAATCTTTCGGACAATGGTGCAGCTGCATTTGTCAAAGTATATCCATAAATATGACTGTGTAGTGTGTATGTTTGACCATGTTTTTCTGTTCCATCCCAGGCGATCCAGCATTTTTTTTTTACAATGAGAAGCCAGCACAGCAGTTAAATATTATACTATATGCTACAGCTCTCATCACTCTGTGCTAAATCTACACAATTATACCGCTGCATCATGCACTGGCTGAATTACTTCTCCCTGATAAGATATTGTCTGACTTATCATGCTTTGCAGCCTGTATTTGCATAATTCAGATTCAGATTGCAGCAGGCACATAGCATGAATAGGTGTCAATTATGAAATACTTTGGCACTTTGGGCATGATTAGGCTTTATAAATCATAAGAAGTAAGCACATCTGTATTCCTTCAAAGCAGTACCTATTTCTGAATCAATGCTTTTCACTCTGCTCTGAACTAGCAGCTCTAGTGACCAATTATATCTGATGTTAATCCACTTTTCTTAGTTGATTCATTGTTTTTATTCATTGAAGAAATTATTAATAATTTAACATATCCACCATCTTTTCTAGGAGAGAAATAATTTGCTTTGTTCTAGGCAGAGAGCTGCAGCCTCTTTTTACTGGCACAGAGGATTGGAAGTTATATTTCTGGCTTAGCCTGAAGGCTAAATGAAACTGCTGCAGCTTCGTTGCTGTGCATGCAATTGAGTGTTGGCTAGTGGCAGCAATGGATTCAGGAGGTGACAAGTGTTCTTGAAGCTGTAACCATGTCTAAAATATGTCTTGTTAGTGTTGTTCAGATGATAGAACATTGACTTGTTGACTGTAGTGTAATCACTAATTGCTTTTACGTTCCATCCATTTCAGGACCAGGAACAAGAGCAAGCAATTGAGGATTGAGGACTCATAAAAATGAACGTTGTGACAAATTATGTACAAAACACTTAATGTAAAATTGCCTTGTAGTTTACCATTGACGTAAGCATGCAAGCCACATCACAAGCTAAAGACTGAGTTTCAGGTAAGTTTTGAAATATTTGCTCCACTATGTCTAGCATGCAACTTTCTTTAGTTCTCCCTATGCTTAAGCTTCCATTCCATTACAGAAATTACATTGCACTGAGGGCAGCTTTGGACTGACTTTTTGACGGCTCTGGACTGACGAGCTAAGAGCATGATTTTTGCCGAAGAATGTCAACTCTGACTTGGGAGTTGGAGAAGGTACGGGTTCGGCGACTCCGACTCCAGCCGAACTGTCGACTCCGGCTCCAGCCGAACTGTCACGACTCAGGCCGACTCCGACTCCAAATACACAGCGCCTTTACTTTAACCTTCCAGGCGGTGGGGGCCCCCTTAGTTTTTTTTTCGATATATATCCAGAACCGCTGCGCCGATCGTCACCAAGCTTTCAGTGCCCTTGCGGGAATAGCTTGTACACATTGTGACCAAAAAAAAAAAAAAAATCCAAAGGCTGTGATAGGTTGGCCGGTAATGACGTCGGAGTGATGTCATTTCTGCCATTTTCGACCCATAAAAAGGTTTCGCGGGAAGAGCTGTCAGGCCTACAGTTTAAGAGATACAGAAAAATGTTTTTCCATAAAATGTGTAGAATTAACAGGGCTATAAAACTGCTATCTCGGATTTTTAATTTTTTGAATTTTGACCCCCCCCCCCCAAACTCATAAAGCTAATTTTTGAATATAATAGCCAAAATCCCAAAAGTTTGTTTAATTTCGAAAAATCGGGATATGTGTGATAGTCCCTACCGCCTTCTATCCACATACCAAATTTGAGATCGATACCTCTTTGTTTGGCCAAGTTATAGCGAAAAACTGTTCAAAATTGATGACGTCAAATTTTAAAACTCAGTTTTTAGCAATTCTAGACCGCATAGCACAAAAACAAAGACCACCATTAGACTCAGACTCGGCGTGACGAGCTGCATCGAATCAATACCCATTTTATGCAAAACTATCAACTTTGAAATTTCACTTTTTTGACCTAACATTGACCTGACCTGCACCAGAAAGTGACCTAAACCGTACCTGATGGTCTTATAACCAGCACAATTGAGCTGGAAATGAAAAATTTGCCATAAAACATGCATCGCACAACCCTAATAAAGCTTGGTTCATGTGCTGACCCTTGGTGACCTGACCTGTGACTTGACCTGACATTATCAGTGACCTCAAGTAGCAACATATGTACCAGGCAACTTACGCCCTATCGTTGATTTTCGACAAAAGGCGTTTTACTCGATGTTAAAGCGCATTCCCTAGAAGACCCGTGAACGGCGAATGATTTTATCTTTAACCTGACCTTGTGACGTCTTCGGTGACCCCGAGGTCAATGAAATTGGGGTTCGTCTGGCAAATTTGACAGGGCTATCGAACGCTGTTTGAATTTTATGGATCCGTCCAGTAGTTTCGGAGATACGGGGGGACAAAAAATCCCCCCCACCGCGCGGAAGGTGGCCGGGAGGCCCACCGCCTGCCGGGTCAAATCACGGTATTCGTTTCGCCCCTTATTGGGTTTAGAGCTTGCGAAAAAATCAAGGGTATTGGCGGCTGTCACGAGACGCACCAAATGGGACATAATTTAAAGGTGTTTAGGTAAACGTGGGACTATCTGGGTCAGGTCGATGACCCGATGGTGTATGCCCGATTTTCAGTCCATGGCTTCGATAAAAGTGTCAGGAAGCATCGATTTTGATGCCATTGCGTTTTCCGCGTCCAGCTGCTTCGGATGATCTTTTTTTTCCTTTCACCGGAGTCCACCGGCGGTTTATTATTTAACGAGTACACATGAAGTGCATTTAAACGCTTCAGTCTGGGGCAACAGCCATGGTGCCTGGTTCGGTATAACGAACGAGAATAGGCATATGGATGGCGCTATCGGTGGAGGTGGTAGGAAGGATATGATAGTTAGTCATGTTACGGGATACACTGTTAGATGATTAGATATAGGAATGCCACCGGTAGCGCCAACACTAAAGAAATGTATGAACAGAGACATATTCACAGCCTATTCACTGTCCATTTCAGTACACGTAGCATAGCATTAGCCACAGATGGCGCCACCGACGGCCGCAGATGGCGCTGATCTCAACAACACATGAACAGCACTGGCGTCAAGGAACAAAGACTTAGTTTGGGAACTGGACAGCGGCGGAACGCACGGCCGCGGGCCTCGTCTTGAACATGATAGACGCCTATTTCAGTATCAGACTCTGTGGTTACAGAGACTCCTCATCTTCCAAGTCGGCCAGGCTGAGGCGCAGGCGCCAAGCAGCGCGGCAGCGACGCAGCGCACCGACGTCGGCGGCCCCGCCGGCCCAGCTTCCCGTCATCAAGTTGAGCTCCTTCTCCTACTCCTCCGACTCGAGTAGGCTGGATGCTGACGTTAAGCAGCGCGGTATAGGTGCAGCGGACTGACGTCGGCGGCTTCACTCGCCCAGCGTCCTGTCAGCGTCAAGTTGAGCTCCTACTCCTTCCGTATCTGCAGCTGGAGGGCCTCCTTCTCCTACTCCTCCGATTAGGCCAGGCTGGGTTGTCGACGTTAAGCAACGCGGTAACGATGTAGCGGACAGACGTCGGCGGCTTCGCTGGCCCAGCGTCCTGTCACCGTCAAGTTGAGCTCCTTCTCCTTCCGTATCTGTAGCTGGAGGGCCTCCTTCTCCTTCTCCTCCGATTCTGTCAGGTTGGGTGCTGACGCCAAGCAGCGCGGTAATGATGCAGCGGGTAGACGTCGGCAGCTCCCCTGGCCCAGCTTCCCGTCATCGCCAAGTTGAGCTCCTTCTCCTTCAGTGTCTGCAGCTGGAGGGCCTCCTTCTCCTACTCCTTCGACTCGGCCGGGCTGGGGTGTTGACGCTAAGTAGCGCGGTAACGATGCAGCCGACAGACGTCGGCAGCTCCCCTGGCCCAGCTTCCCGTCATCACCAAGTTGAGCTCCTTCTCCTTCAGTGTCTGTGGCTGGAGGGCCTCCTTCTCCTACTCCTCCGACTCGGCCGGGCTGGTGTTGACGCTAAGTAGCGCGGTAACGATGCAGCCGACAGACGTCGGCAGCTCCCCTGGCCCAGCTTCCCGTCATCGCCAAGTTGAGCTCCTTCTCCTTCAGTGTCTGCAGCTGGAGGGCCTCCTTCTCCTACTCCTCCGACTCGGCCAGGCTGGGGTGTTGACGCTAAGCAGCGCGGTAACGATGCAGCCGACAGACGTCGGCGGCTTCGCTGGCCCAGCGTCCTGTCAACGTCACGTTGGACACCTTCTCTTTCCGTATCTGCAGCTGGAGGGCCTCCTTCTCCTTCTCCTCCGACTCTGTCAGTCTTAGGTGCTGGCGCTGTGCAGCGCGGCAACGATGCGGCCAGAAGACGGTAGCGCCGCCGGTCTAGGGTCTCGCGATCGTCACGTTGAGCTCCGTCTCCCACACGAACCGCCGCTGGAGGGCCCCCTCCTCCTCCACGATCGACAGGGCCGCGGTTCTCTGCGTTGCTGCCAGTGCACCTCAGCTGGTTACTCCCCAGGTGCTGCCAGTGGCAGCGGCGACCCAGCTCGGCGGTATGCAGTAGCAGCATCAGTGCTGGACAAGGCGGCCACCTCAGGTCTCAGGTCGGCAGAGCCAGAGGCACGCAGCAGCGGTCGGCGCTGGGAAGAGGATTCAGGCAAAGTTAAGACAAGTACAAAACTGGGGAGGGGGGGGGGGGCAATTGACAGGATAAGCGTGGGGGAGTCATATCGAATGGCCATTAAACTTATTAACCTGAACACCAGTACGGTATGCGATACAAGATAACAAACATGGTACTCTGGATTATAGTTTTGTAGCAAAACAACAGCTTGGGCAAAACGCAGCGGGATATAGGTCGCTTAGCTTCCTGAGGTCCCGCTACGCGCCACTAAATCAGGTTAACAACGAACGTGATGGTGGTGGTGTAGGAAGTTCATGGACGAGTAAATGAAAAAAAAAATAATAAAGAATAAGTAGAGAGTAGAGATACGAGTAGGAATAAATGCGATATGTATGAAGAAAGGAGAGTTAGATGTAATAGCAGATGATATATAGCAAGTATGTAAAAGATGGAGCAGCCTAGTATTCATCTAAGAAAATGCGCATAATACATTTCTTAAAGAGACTTGTGCTTGGAGGGATATTATGCAAGTTCGGGATACGTGGGGCAATCATCAGGTTCCAGGTCTTAGGTGCTCTACAGAAAGGAGAGAAGAGTCGGTAGTTGGTCAATCGATAGTTGGGCACCATATCCCCTGTACCTGATGTGACTGCCTCACTAAAGTGCCTGACACTGCGTGAGGGGCGGGACTGGTTATGCAAGGAAAATTTATCAGATATGACAGCGGGGAGGCGTCCAAAGAGGCAGTTATGCATGAGAAGTAGGAGTTGCTTGTTAATAATGTCATGGAACTTCAGTAATTCAAGTTCTCTAAAAAGTGGCGAAGTGTGCGAGAAACGACCGACACCGGCTATGAGCCGAATCGCCAGCTTTTGAGCAATGACAATTGGGTTAAGATTACTTTCGTAGTTGGAGCCCCAGATAAGCAAGCAATAGCTGAGATAGGGTAGAACAAGGGAGTTATACAAAAGGATCAAGAGTTTCTTGTTAAGCAAATAACGGGCTCTGCTCATGATGCCCAGGTTCCTGCTAATCAAACCAGATACTTTGTTAATGTGAGATTTAAATTTTAGATCTTCATCGACCAACACACCAAGGTACTTGACGACCGGGGCACGCTTTAAATTGACGCCTTTCACAGGTATAGAAAGGCCTACAGATTCAACATTACCAGAACCATAGAGTTGATAGAACGTTTTAGAAGTAGATAGAGAAAGTCTGTTAGCGTGAAGCCACAGAACGACTTTTGGAAAGGAGCGTGAGATAGCAAATTGTAGTTCATCAAGTGTTTGGGCAGAGTAGAGGATAGCAGTATCGTCAGCAAAGAGAAAAAAATTGGCCTCATCACAAACTTTGGGAAGATCTTTAATATAGAGAAGAAATAAGATAGGGCCCAG